TTTTTTTTTTTTTTTTTTTTTTTTTTTTTTTTTTTTTTTTTTTTTTTTTTTTTTTTTTTTTTTTTTTTTTTTTTTTTTGTTTTTTTTTTGTCCCGCGTGACTTCTCCACCGCGGTTGCTCTCCTCGTGGGAAGTTTTAACATTAAGCCGATGTGTATGTTGTACACATTTGCACACATACGTGTAACCCGTTCGAATTCCCATTTGGGTTCAAATTGGGATATTTTCCCCTCCACACACACACTCCTGTGTAGCGCGCTTAACCACTCGTACGTTACCGCGTACATTCCTGCAGAGCGCCCCTTTTCTCCTTTTTTTCTCCTTTTTTTTTCCCCCCCAAAAAAAAAATGTTCTGTTGTTCTAAAAACATATTAGACACGGTGGATAAGAGGAGGAAAGGTCATGGAATGTACACAGAAAAAAAGACAAACGATGAGAAAAATGAAGTAGTATCAATATGTGACAATAAAGTGTCCGTCGTTAATATTTTAAGAAGAGGAAATGAGCCCATGTCGTCCAAGGCAAAGGAAGCAAAGAGTGAGACCATTAAGAAGACACCGTCGGTGTGTAAATCCAGTGTACTCAAATATTATGAAGCGAACATTTTGAAGGGGGAATGTTCCAAGGGGGCATCCCTTACAGATGTAAAAAAAAAAGAAGAAGATACACACAAGTCAGTCCATGATAAACATAAGAAAGATGTTATTAAGGACAAGAATGAAGTGGCTGAGTTTACTCATTTGACCACGAAGCACAAATTTAAAGCTTTGAAGGAAATACAGAGGCAGCTGAATAATTGCGTGAAGGAGCAGGAGTTTAGCGCCCACGATGATATTTTGTTCTTGAACATTTACAGACTAACCCACAAGAAAATGTACTCCCTCATGGACGGGAAAAAGAAGAATGTGGTAAGTTTGGAGGGGTCCCCACGATACGCGCGGTGTGTATGTGTATGCGTGTATGTGTATGTGTGCAGCCCCCCCCCCCAGTGCAAAAACAAACGGATGCCCCTCCCCCCTTTTTTTCACCCTCCGTACAGGGCTACTATAACTGCAACGAAGTCCTGGACATGATACTGAACGGGAAGCTGCACAAAAACAGCCTAATTAAACGAAAGTCGGAGGTGCAGTATGTGTACCTAAAAGAAAAAATTAACGAAATTCATTTTTTAAAAAATATGGAGCTACAGTATTATCTCAAAATTAAAAAAAACATACCCTCCATAAAATCTAAATGTGAAGAAAATTACACAAAGGAAAACTCCCTCTATCTGGAATTCAGCGAAGCATTATTAGCAGAAAAGGTAAAGTCATTAAAACAGTTCTTTATTTCTCCCTACTGCAAAAATGTTGTAGAAATAATTTTAATACCTAAGCAAAAGAACTGGAACACATTTGATGGGCATCATAAGATTTTCGTGGATCTATTTGTGACAAAACATATTTCTGTATACTTTTATCACATAATTGAGAAAAAAATGGAAAAGCATAATTTGGCACAAAAAACAGGGCCTGTACAGTTAAGAATAAAATTGAAGACAAATTACCCCCAAGCAATAAAAACCATTTTCAGGTACATATACGACAAAAATTTAAACCTTTATGAATTAGATTTTAAATTATTGGTAACTGTTTATATGGAGTGTGTTCATTTGAAAATTCCTAGCATCATGGATGACGTGATTGAGGTGATTTCTCAGAAGGCTACCTTTGACAATATCATTGGGGTCCTGGGCCTGGCGTCCACCTTTAAGCAGATCGGGACTCCCCTCTTTAACGACTTCGCCAGAGTCATTTCGGACTCGGGGGGCTACCTCTTGGCCAGTAAGCCCAAGCGCAGCGCGCGCAGCACGTGCGAATGTGCGTACAAATATGTTTGTTGACCTCACCGCGGTCCTCCCTTTTTTTTTCCCCCCCCACCCCAATTACGCAGAAAATTACCACTATCTGCTGGACAGCGAAACGTACAGCCACGTCCTCGGAAGCGACAACCTCATATTGAACGAAATGAGGCTCTTCATCGAGTCCATAAAGTTCATAATCAAGAAGAACTGCGACATGAAAGAACAAAATTTAATTTTACAAAACATCAGATTCAATCTTCTATCCTTGGAGCAACTCCACGAAATTCACCAGTACATAAAAAATTGCTTCGAAGACATTTTACATAGCAAGTACGACGAGACCAATTTCATTTGCATGAGGTACCAACATTCAAAGTTGAGGATAAAGGAAGAGAGTCCACATAATGACCATAGGGAAGCTTCTTCCAATGAAGCAAATGATCAGACTAAACAAGGTGCTGACGGAGACAAATCAGATGATGTAAAGGAAAATGAAGATGGAGAACAAGTAGCAGCACCTGTTGAAAGACCCCCCAAGTTTTCATTCTCTGAAGAAATAAAACACTTAAACGAATTTTACAAAATAATAAATAAAGAAGCATTTGAACCCCCTTACATTAGTAAGAACAAAAAAGAATTATTATCCATTAAGGGAATAACAATTTGTATGAACAATATTTATAACATCCTTTTTGATCAGATTTTTAAAAAAATGGGAAATCAAAAAGAAATAAAGCAGAGATGCAGAATATGGAAGGATAATAAAAACTTCTTGTGTGTAAACGATTTTACTAATGAGAAATACTCCTTTCAATTAATTAAAAAAAAAGAAAGTTCAGCTAAATATGCCTTCACACATGGGGACGAAAGGTTGATAAGCGAATGTAAGTTAGTTTACCAAATTGCACAAAGCAAAGAAAGTAATATTTCTATCGGAGTTATTTTAAAAACGAACGAATTAAACATTTTATCCAATCGGCAGAATTGTAAAATTCCAGTGACGTTACTCCAATGCAGTGACCAACTGGTCATATACTTTGACTTTTTTGTAAATGATTTTTACGTGTGCAATATTGACAATAATAGCTGCACGTTAATGAACAGGACCAAGTTGAACATACATGCACATGAAAATAAATTACAAAATGGGGACATCATTATTTACAATGTAGCCGTTATAAATGAAGCCCTCAAAATTGACATTACAATATTACCAAAGAACATCAACTTTTCCTTTTCCTTTGCGTTGCTAAAACCGATCATTTGGGGGGGGCAGGTGATGAAGAAGCCCTTCATCCACGTGGCGCCCTTTTTCGCCCTTAAGGATGCGTTAGACTCTATTTCGGTGCCCATCGTAAAGTTTTAAGTGCGCCCGACCATTTGCACAAAGCGGGCTAGCTACGTGTAAATGGGTAAATGGGTAAATGCGTTAAATATGCGTGTGCTATGCACGTATGTATATATATGTGCATGTATGTGTGTATGTACACGTAAACATGATGGTTTGTGTTGGCTGTTTTGCGTTTGCTTCTTGACTGTTTTTTTTTTTTTTTGTATCTGGGGTCACAGGGCCAGACCCCGCACATATGCTTTATTCTTTTAATCCCATTATGATCCACCCCATCTTTGGTGAATTTACTTTTTCACATCAAAATTTTTTTGTTTTTTTTGCGTCAAAAGAGTTCTTTTTAATTTGTATAACGCAATGTAACATGAGTTCATTACATGTGCATTTATATATGTATACAAAAGGATAATTATATGGCATGCTTGCGTTCATGTGTGAGCTCTGTGCTCGCGGTGTGTATGCATGCTATACACTTATATATACAAGAAGAGTGTATGAGTGGACCGATGAGCATTTTGCGAAAAGGATATAAAGAAGCGCTTCGCTGCTCTCTTTGCTAGTATTTCGTTTTTAATTTTTGAATCTTTTTTTTGAAGTTAGTTTTTAAGTTAACCTCCTTTTGTTTTACTCCCTCAAAGTGATTTTTTTTTCTTTTTTTGGCCTACACAATTTTGCCTTCTTTTTTTCCCCCGCCCCTTCAGCAACAATTTAGTACTTTTCTGTTTTGTGAAATTTATATAACACTTTCAAAAACCTTTAAAGTTTTTCACACACAATAAATTAAGCACAGATGTTTTTTTTATCTCATTTGAATTTTTCACATGATGATAATTCCTAGCCGTCCCCCCTCCCCTGTTTTTTTTTTTTATGTATGAAAGTTCTACGCAGTAGAGCACGTCGCGGCGCCACACCTCTCACTTGCATCTTTTTGCCCACCCAACGCGCCAAACGAAAAATGAAAAAAAAAAAAAAAAAAAAGGAAAAAGGACAATTCCCCAAATTAGCAAAAAGAGCCATTCCTTCCGCATATATAATATCCACTTCTCTCTCATCATAGAGCCTAGTCCAGAAAAAATGACTAAAAAAAATTATAAGCTATCAAGGTAAGTTTGTGTAACGCTGATATTCGGTTCTCTGGTTGATTGACTAATTCATTTTTTTTTTTTTTTTTATGCGAAATGAGGGGTATATTAAAAGCGAATGCACAAAAAAAAAAAAAAAAAAAAAAAAAAAAAAAAAAAAAAAAAAAAAAAAAATAAAAAAAAAAAAGAAAAAAAAACTTCCCCCGGGGAAAAAAAAAAAAAAAAAAAAAAAAAAAAAAGGGAACAATTAAAACCCTTAGCACATAAACAAAGTGATAGATAAAGAATCGCAAAATGCGCCAATTAACCACAATTTGCTAGCCAACCCCAACACCATACGCACAAAATTTGAGTATGTTCCCATTTTGTGTGGGCATTTTGGTTACCACTTAAAAATCATGTCGCTTGTCAAAGTGTGTTCACATTTGCTTACAATTATTTTTTTTCTTTTTTTTTTCTTTTCATCCTCCTGGGGACAACCAAAGATGAACAAACACATATGTATCTATGGAGGCTCTTTTGACCCAATTACTCATGCGCACGAAATGGTCCTGACAGAAGTTAGCAACCTAGACTGGATAGACGAAATATGGGTGGTCCTCTGCAGGTGTCGAGACGATAAGGACCTCACCGAATTCCAACATAGACATAATATGTTTTCCCTAATCATGAATAATAATTCGCCTAAGATGGTAAAAAATAAAATTTTTTTAAAAGATATTGAATGCAAAGAAACCAGCACCCCAACTTATGATTTGCTCAAAATGCAAAAGGAGAAATATCCAAATTATACTTTTTACTTTGCTATTGGATCTGATCTACTGAATGACATTTTTTTTTGGGATAATGGAGAAGAGCTAGTTGCAGAAAATAATTTCATAATAGTTGAACGGGGGAATTTTAAAATCGATGAAAATGTGTTGAAGAAATTCCCAAGTTACTATTTAATTAAAATTGAAAATATGTCTTTTATTAATTATATTTCTTCAAGTGACGCCAGGAAAATATTATCCCAAAAGGAAAACTCAGAAGATCTGCACAAGTATATTCACCCCGTCATTATTGATTATATAAAGGAACATAATTTGTATGATAATAGCTCGACGTAGCGCATAGCTTAGTGTTTACGTTAAATTAGTTTTCTGTCAATATAGCAATTGGGTTGGGCAGTATAAAAACCACCTCTTATTCGCTGTCGACACACATTGCAAACACCCTCTGAATTTCTCCCTAATTTATATATTATATTGTCACCAGTTCTTACTCTGCGAGTTTTGCACTGCATGTCATGCGTTAAGCATATTTACACACTTTCTTCCTTCTTACACCCTGCATGGTAGAATTTGTCTCCTTTTTTATTTTTTGAAAAAATGTTTTGAAGTAATAATTAAATATTTTCATGTTGCGTTTTCATAAATGTAGACGTTTATTTTTGAATATAAATAGACGATATAATAATAATTTTTTTTTTCAGCAAAAGTATGTGTCACCGTGTGTGCCTCCTTTCTTTTGATAAAAGGTTAGTAATTAGTGGACACGAGGGGGAACCCTCAATGCACGTTTTTTTTTTTTTTTTTTTTTTCGTTAGTTGCTTTGTCTTCGTTTTATCCATTTTCTTTTTTTTTCTTAACACTTACAAACTACTACGGGTTGGTAAAATTTACAAGTCTTCTTTCATCACATTGATTAGATCACCGTTATGCTCATCCTTCTTAACAGATTCGTCTGAGTTGTTCATTTCTTCGCACCATTTTAAAAAATAGGGATCTGATTCTAGGGTATTGTTCATATCATCTGACTTATTATTGTGTATTATAGTCTGATATGGGGCAAAGGACACCATGGCTTTGAACTTAGCACCATTCGAATCATAAAAGAATTTCCCATGTTGCGTTTTTATAAATTCCTTTGTCTTCAAATCATCCTTAAAGGATAAATACATTCGTGAATGCGTTATATCATCCCCCGGATTTCTTGGTACACATCCGTTAACATAGTAATAATAATCTAATTCATCTTTGAGGTTGCTTGGGAAGGAATCAAAAAAATTATCTTCACTTAAAGTTGGTGGTAAATGTCGAATAATGATTTTTTTATTATGTACAGAGGACTGTTCCTTTTTCAGTAAAGTTATAAGCATATCTTCTTTTTTTTTTAATACCTTTTCGTTTTGCGTTTTTTTAATATGGTTATTGTCTACATTATGATTTGTTTTATTATTCTTTGTTATATTATCATGGCCTTGTGCTTCTTGCCTCTTTGTACTAAGTACTGATTTTCTATTACACTCGTAGTATTTTAAGTCTTCGTACTTTTTCTTCTTGTCGAGGGTGTTTTTTTTGCTATTATCATTTTCCCGTTCTGTCGGTTCTTTGTTTGCTTCATTGGAGTTTTTTTTGTTGCTATTATTATTTTCATTCCTTTTCACTTTTTGTAATATTTTATACGGTCTTATGCTTGAATACATTTTTTTTTTTTTTTTTTTTAATATTTCTATTGATTTTTTTTTTTTTCACAATACAAAAAGGGGTTAGGCATCTGCTTATAGATGGGTTTTATCCTACAGAGGTATAATGTTTACCCTTGTGTATAATCCTTATGTGTATTGTTATGGGATGTGGGTTACGTTTTCACACATATGTAACTGTTGAGCCCTCCCTTCGAAAATCGACATCCAAAAGAAGCGTAGAAATTACATTTGCAACGGGTGTTCACACGTTACAAATACTGACTGCATTTTACTTTTCCCATATAAATGAAATTTATTTGTTTTGGGGTATGAAAGGAGGAAAAATTAAAAGGAGTTGCACATTTTACGCCCATTGCTGCTGTTATAACTTTTCATACGGCTGTGCGCGGAAAAAATATCTCCTTGTGTCAAAGCAGAAAGTGTTAAAAAGGTTATGCATATATGATATATATATATACACGTTTCAAGCCGCCTCACAGGAAGGCATTTTCTAAGCAACTTACTCAAAATAGATGAATTTTAAAAGGAAGTTCCCCCATGGCACATAAATGATTTTTTATTTTGAAACGACTCTACAAAAATGTTATGAACAAATATAATAGTAACTCCCGCTTGAAGGGAAATATATATGTGCATGCGAAAAGGATAAGCTTCTGCGGAGTTAAAAAATTACCCTTTTTTTGAGAAAAAAAAAAAAAATGTACAGTAGAAAACATCACTTCAAAGGAGGAGCGCGAAAAAAACTCCAGGTACACCTTTTTCTGTGAGTTTTCTTATTCGTTTTCTTTTATGCCTCTTTTGTTTTCCGCTTCGCGAAGTGGCGTGCATATACGACAAGTTACAACGTTAAAAAGTGGTTTAAAAAAAGAAGAGAACAAGAACTGTGTGAAGCATAGGTCAACATTGCTTGCTTCCACATTATGGTGTGGGATTGTCTGCCGGGGGCATATAGTTTCGCTCAGCAAAATGTGTACAGAATTGTGCCTGTTTTACAAAGAACCAAAAAATGATGTTGCCAATGCAGGAAATTGCCCCTTGGCACTTAAAGAGCGCGGAAGTACATTCGACAAATACGTAATATGAATTTGTAACTCTGCGGTTACAGTGTTCTACACCCCTTTACCAAATTTTTACGAGAATGTTCACAAAAACGAACGCTTAAAAGCATTTTCCACCATTCCTTCGAGTAATACTAACATTTTGTGGTTCAACTTGTAACAGTAGCGAATAGTTGAAAAGATGTTTTTTTTTTTTTTTTTTTCCTTCACTTATATGTCATGTCAGTAATGGTCTTGTTGTTGAGGAAACATCAACGTGTAAATGGTATTTGAAATTTTATACACCTCACACAACTGCGCCACCTGTGTGAAAATAACCCCTGTACCATTGTTTATTTTTCGCTTGGGTCAACTCACAAAAAAGTGTGTGAACTTCGGAATGCTTGCACATTTTGCGTTAATTATACAAAGTTTAACTACGCGATACAAAGGAGTTTTACATGTGATAGACGCGTCGGTGTGGGAAATAATATAACAGGCACTTTAAAGCCTTAAGCGTATAATGCTGATCAATTTTGCTAGTAACGATTGGTAGCACGCAAACAAGTCACATAAAATGTCTGCACATGTAACCATTTAACAATTACGTGTAAATAAGCGCCATGGACATGCTACTCCACAAGCCTATGTGCGCAAATAACTTGGGAACTGATATTTTGCTAACATAAGAGACGTGTGTTTCTAATTTACCTCTTTTTCATTTTCACAAATTTTGTATGCAGCTCGGCAAATTGTAATACCTGTTGTATATGTGACATGATGTTACATTATAATATAACACTAAATCATAATTTTGTTTTAAGGTGAATAGCATAAAAATAATGTTCAATTAAATTACACTACTGCGACTTAATAAAATCCCGTTCACGCTTCTCGTGCGAAAATTGCAAGTCATATAATACCCTTTTTTACATGTGCAAAATGCAAAAAAAAAAAAAAAAAAAAACGAACAAGAAAACAAAATGATGAAGCAAATTATGCCGAAACAGAAGAACGATCGGCAAACATATTTGCTCATGCTTTCCAATCGATTCTTACATATAGCAAAATTAACACAAATAAAAAGTAGGCGCAAATAATTCTGGTATTTTTTCTTTCCTTTAAAAAAACACGCATGATGTGATATGAGCAAAATAAATGCAAACTCCCCCTTCTCGTACCAACGCATTTAAATGAGTTTGCACACGAGAGTACGATAATAACATTATAAGCAAAGGCTTGGCTGTTACATCTACAATTAAAAAAGGGTTAAAATTCAACCCATTTACAAAGAAAGTACGTCAAAATATTTTGGGCCTCTCACCCCACAAATACATACTGCTGCAATAGGAAAAGGAATAGAAAAAAAAAAAAAAAACACCCATTCGTGAAGTAACAAAATACAATGAAATTTCTCAATATAGAAAATTAATAACCCGCAGCTGACAAAAATACCATATTACGCATGACAAAATAAAAGGCCCCTTTGTTGGCTAAGGGCATATGCATATGTATATACATATGTACATGTGTACTCTTACCTACAACGTGCAAGTAAATCGTTTTCCCACCATCCATTGTAATGTACCTTTCACGAGGTAGCATTTTCAAAAATAAGCCTATTGTGTAATACAGTACAATATAATGATTTACAGAATTTATAACTACTCTCGGAAGCTTTACGAACACAGAGATAAATTTGTGAAATACTTTTCTGCTAAAAATGAATCTGTAAACATTTATCATGATAAATTTCAGAAGAGTGTATATTTCATGTATGAAAATGCCAACCACTACAATTTCAATGAATACCCAGTAGTTTTGAACCAAGAAAGGAAAAGGCACAATGAGAGAAGAAGTCATGTGAAAACCAAAACTATTTTATTTGCAAATATATTGGGCCTAGTTATGCCTTCAAAGAACGATGAAAATACAGAAAATAAAGACATAAATATTAAAAAAAATGAATTTAGTTTAATAAATAATAAAGGTAGAATGTCTACAAATTCAAAGGACACTCCAAATTTGGAAGCAGACTGTATGCACCCAGGAAAGAATAACAAAAAATCAAAAGATGATAAATATGAATATTACCAAGAATTAAGTGAATATAGTAACATGCAAATATTCTCTAGCAATAGTCACCATGAATTGGCCAATGAAATATGTTCCAATTTAGGAATAGGCTTAGGCAGAGCTTATGTCGGAAAATATAGTGATGGAGAAATAGCCCTTCAAATAATGGATGAAGTTAGAGGCAGAGATATTTATATAATTCATTCTACCCCATCGGGTGGTAAAGATATTCATTCCCGTTTAATGGAATTGTTTTTATTCGTTTCCACATTAAGGAGATCTTCTGCAAAAAAGGTTACTGCCGTCATACCGTACCTAAATTACTCCAGACAAACTAAGCATTTGGATGATTTCAATTATGTCCATTCTCTGGGAGCACCTGAAATAGCTATACTATTGCAAGCATGTGGTGTTGATGCAATTATTTCAGTTGATTTACATAGTCCACGAATTGAGGGGTTTTCCACGGACGAAAAACTTTTCCAACCCCCTCTTATGAATATTAATCCCCAATCCTTAGCTGTGGAATATTTTAAAAAAAAAAAACTCCAAAACCCAGTTATTGTTTCGATTGACAATGATGGAGCAGAAAGGACGAAGGAATTCTGGATTCGAATGAAAAAGTATTCTCTTAACGCCGGGTTTACAACGATTGTTTCTAGCTCATATAACGAAATGGACAGTAGGGAAGGGCATCCAAATGATGATGGAAATGAAGGCAAAAACACGTCCAGTAAGAAATATTTGAATATATTTAGTCAAGATAGAAGAAAAAATAGCAATACCACAAACCCTGTGAAAAATGTAGACAATAAAAATATAAATCAGATAACTCCAAATTTTAAAAAGGAGGAATTTACCATAGTTGGAGATATCAAAGGTTGTGACTGCATTTTAGTAGATGATATTCTGGACACTGGCGAAAAATCTAAAAAAGTTGCAGCTCTTTTGAAAAGTGCTGGAGCTAGCAAAATATACCTTTATGCTACTCATCCTATCTTATCAGACGGATGCATCGAAAATATTAACGAATCCTGTATAGATGAAGTTGTAACTACGAACACTATACATATTCCAAGCAATATATGTTGTGAAAAATTGCACATTTTGTCAGTTGCCAAATTGTTGGCTGAAGGAATAAAAAGAGTTCAAAACGAACCATCACAAAATGCACTGGAAGATTTCTCAGATGGAGAAGTAATAATGAAGGAAAAATAACCTTTTCTAATTTTGTTCAAAAAGGTTATATTATCCTAATTAAGGCTTGTGAATGCCAGAAAAGGTTAACATGTAATGCACAATACCTACCTTTTCTATTCTTTTTTTCTTGTCAAATTATAAGTATTTTTTACCAAAAGATATACACATTCCTTTTATTCCTGTTGTAATGTAGAATATTAACATGCCTATAGTTGAAACAGCATTTAATAAGTTACATCCAGAGTCAAAGTAATACATTCCGTTATTTTGCTTCTATATGTTCCTTTCTATCCTGACCTGTGCTTATTTGTTGCTTCCCTTACCACTTACATTTACATGTTTATTCACTTACGTTTGCATTTGTCATATTAATGAATAAAATATGTCAATTAATCGTATGATAAAATAGAAATTTTGCTTTCAATATGAAAACTGCTTCTAATTTTACTTTAATTACAAAATTAAATATAATTTAGGAAATTATTTAAAAAAAACAGGGTAAATGCTGTATTTTTTTGTATAATCTTATTCTTATAACAAAATTAGTAGGGCATTTTGAAAGTAAATTCTAGTGTTTCCATTTTTTATAATTACATTTATTTGTATATGAATATAATTTCTTTTATCTAATATTTTTTAAGGAATATAGCATTTATAATTTTGAATCATTTAAGTTTCTATTCATTTTTGAAAACTTTGTAATACACGTATCAATTGGCGTGAAGCATATTTTTCTTTTAAACCTTTTTCCTCGATTCCATTTTAACGCATCTACTTTGATGTGTAATTAGTTAAGCACCGTCCAAACGTCCAGCTACGTGCACTCGGCATTCGTTTAATTTGGCATTTCTACCGCATAAAAAAAAAAAAAAAAATGTACTTGTAAATAGGTGAAAGTAGGGATTAATGTGAACACACATTTCTTATGATTCTTAGTGCAAATTATTATGTTCCATCTATATGTGAAATAGAGTACCATTAAATTCTTTATTTCAAATGAATTCACAATAGGACAAAATTCCAGAAAATGTGTACATAGTAATCTCATGTTTTGTATTTCAATTTAGTAAATTATCTTGTGTAATGGACTTTTACACTCTCTACGTTCCATTGTAAGATACGAACACTTCCTATATCATCCTGTCCCTTAATTTGAACTATAACTTCTCACCATATACAAATGAATTTTGATGATTTTGTTAATGTTATATATGGAAAAGATGTATTTGATGATGAAAATTCCCATTATGTTAAAGAAAACATCTTCCCATATTTATTGCCTGTAATTATCTAACACAAAGTTGTATAATAAGACATGATTAATTTCCCTTTTTTATTTACTATTATTATTAGAAATCATTTAAATTTCTTTCCATTTTATAGGCACTAGAAAAGGTATTATAAAGGATATTTCAATAAGAATATGTAAATTATACTCCTAAGCAAAATAAAATTATAAACATTACTTCTTGTCTTTCTTTTTTTCTCCCCCCTCTTATATATTCATATATAGTTAGTTA